TCAAAAATAATTTGCCTAGTAACCAACAATAGTTACGTTGTACTTCCTCTGTTATTCCGAGTTCTACTCAAATATTGTAGCAACGCAAACCAAGATTGTAAGAGGTTTTATTGATATAAACCCTATAATGTGACGTTGTATATGAAAAAAGAATATTTGTTAAATTATAAAAGGAATAATCAATTTCTATATTTTTTTTCCTTGTTATATATATAAACATTGTTGTTAGTACAACATTCATGAGGGCTCTATGCATAATAGTAGGAGCACAAAAATTGATTTCGATCTGGTTTATTCTATCATCGTCATCATCAACATAAAACAAAAGGTAGAGCCTGTTCTGATTACCTGAAAATAACTAATTGGAGTTGAACTTGATTGGAGCTGAACTGAATTGAAATGAAATTAAGCTGAAAAAAGCCCTAATACTTGTATATGTTTCGACACTACATAAATTTCCATTAACACTTTTCTGTAATATATATATATATATATATATATATATATATCCAAAAAAAACTCTATATACTAATTTAGAATTTTCACTAACTTAGGCTAATTAATCTAAAAATGAAAACCCAATTGAGAAAAAAGGGAGGAAAAGAGTTTGGGTGTATTCTGAAGTATTATTTATATGATTTTCACTTATTTGAACTTATTAAAATTTATTTTAATTGTAACTTGAACTTGGATGACAATTGTTAGATCTTACTTTTTTTAAAAGGTTTTTATGAACTAATCTAAACTTATTAACCTGAAATAAGTGGAAATAAGATGAAAAGAACAAGCCCTTTATCCATGGCTTTCTATATATTCGCTAATTATACTACTCCATATGAGATGCATAATGTTTTATAATCTTCATTATTATAGATTTCTAGTAAGCAGTTGCAGGAAACAAATCAACAATATTTTAAGAACAGCCAATCCTTTGTAAGTTTGTAATTACTATACTCCACAGTTCACTTAATTACTAGGTAGCATAAATATATATGCTCCACTGCTTCAGTAAGTAACATTAAAAACACATTCATCTCATGACTTCTTCAAACTGTTGTACCTCTTATGACAAACATTTATGGTAAATAATGCCTAGTTCTATTAGTAAAGTTCTATTATTGATACAAGTAATATGTTATACGAAGTATATTACTCGCAATAAGGAGGATATTTTACGGAGTATTGACTGATCAATCAATCCTTTGTACATTGATGCACATTCCGTCTTATACGAGTCACTAAGCTTAGAAAGAATTCTAGCAAAATTTTCTTATTCAAAAATAGATTAAAAAAGTCATACAATTTATGTACATACGTTGTATATTTATATCCTAGTACAAAGTACTGTATTTTTTTTTATTGCTCCTTAATTTTATAAGGGAAATTCTTTCATTTTTTATAATGTACTCCGTAGTAGTATAGCCTTTGAAGATCGACAGGCATTCCTTACGGAAATCACTGAAATTAAGCTAGCCTATTTTCTTAAAGACCTAATTTATTGTTCTTCAGTTTCTACTCTATTGAATTTAAATAAGTATGAGTTGTAACGATGACAATCATTGAACAGTTACATCAAATTAAACTTGCTATCTTCATTAATAACATGGACTTCGAATGGTCATAATGTATCCATGTATATAACTCTTATAGGTTGAACAAATAATTTATGTTGATGTCACAAAAATAATAATACAAATACTTCTAAAGCCTCTCGTTTAGATCAAAAGAGATAAGTCGTGACACAAAATTTTGGGCATAAAGGGAATACTGATAGAAAATATTCTTTCCTGGGTTTAATTTAGATAAACTCCGTATATATTTAGTTTTACACAAAATATTGTGTATATCCTCTATCAAATACAATTACATAATCTACTAGCCACCTCTATTTAATCAAATTAAAGGTATGATATTATTGCCTTAAGACGGAATGTTTTACTAAGCTAGGAATAGATGCATGCATGAAAAGCTTCAAGCATTAGGATTGGTGGACTATATATATAATTAAATAAATCTAGAGTGTTTGATATGATATGATAAACGTATTAATCATATCATATCATTACATATACGAATATATAATTAAACAAAATTATAGAGTTTTTTTTAGAGTTTTTTTTTTTTTATTTTTTATTTTTTATTTTTTTTTTGAAAAGCACAAAATTATATAGTACTTCGTATATATATATATACTAAACCTGATCGATTAAATTGAGCAAAAAGACGAATTTGCATTAAACTTTGTCCCCACTAATGAGAAGTTATTATTTCTCAAAATGGGGAATTAGGGTATACTGTTTAATTTATGTACGTAATATATGAATTCTCTGTAATTTATATAATATATGATCAGTGGATTACTTTTTGGGAGGCATAAGGGTAGGTTAGCTTTATGGAATTATGGTGGACAACTTACATGAATCCGACCCCTTATATATTTTGGTGATGATAGAAAGGAGTAATTTTCCCTTTTTTTGAGGTGAAACTTTACACTATTGTGGGGATTTACTATTGATTTTGATTTATTATTTAAATAAATAAAATTTATCTGGCTGTTTTCTAACCTAATTTACATTAGTTGTTACATTGTCTACAAGTCAACAAAAGATAATTCTATGGTCCTAGTTTTTTTTTTATCAATTGACATCAACATGAACCACATTGAATTGGAAAGTGATCGAGTATGAAATAGTTGATTGTTTGTCATAAGTGTTCCATCAAAATCTCAACATCCGACCAAATTGATAACTCATAATTAACACTAATCAGAAATATTGCATGAACCAAATCGAATGACGACTCATCACTCAAATATGACCTAAGTCAGATTGTATGGTTTATTATATATCCAAACACGACGACGTGAGCTAAGGTTATCCGATATCATTGACTAATCGACTTGTCTGGCTATTTGTCACCTTTGATTAAGAGTTATTTACATATGATAATTACTAGATTAGCAAGCTAATACATGCATAAAAAGGTGATGGTGGAGAAAGCAATAATACAAACATAATATGTATACAAGCATGGACAAAATATAAATGGGGGACCATCCTTTATTGCCTCACCCTTGTTATCAGGAATGTTGCTAATTGCCAACTCTTTGTTCTTCGTTTTTATTTGTTGTTTAAAAGTTATAAAATCTGCCTACCTTTTTTTTTTTTTTTTCTTTTTTCAAAACGCAATATTCTATTTTTTTTTTAAAAAAATATTGTTTTTATGTTAAAAATTATAATAATATGAAGTGATCATATATTATTTGATATGGTCCATACTATGTTCCCAGCATTGTGGCGAATCGTTTTTCATCTTCTACTTGCATTATACTGTGTGTTGGGACTGGGGAACTGCCTCAATTCTGATCAAATTATATTCATTATTTATAAAGATATTAAAAAATATTTAGTACTATTATATAGTAGCATATATTATAAAATATAATAAGGTAGTATAATGTTAAAAAGGATGGCAATAATTGTGGTTTTTGTTTAGTTTTGACAGTTAGAAAAGTACGAGAACTACTCTATGACCAAGAATTATGTTTAAAATTGATGTTATAAAATTAGTTGCGGTTATTAAGCCCAATGTAGTGATTATTGTTTCACTTTTGTACTTCCTATATATTCCATCTCCACTTCTAGCTTGGTGCACGTCCACTTTACTTCTCTTTCACTAGGATTTGTGTGTACAACTTTTCTACATCATTTTGAGTTTTTACTATCCATTGGAATTTTAAAAGTAGATTTAACTTGTAATTTGAATTGTATAGTTAGTAAAAACGCTTTAATTATAGAACAGTTTGAAACATTTTTATTTATTTACATTTTTTTTTTTGTTATATCTGTGATCAGATCATTATTGTGCAAGAAATGCAAGCTAAACATTATAAAATGTGTAAGGAAACGGTGAAATAATCTCTAGCTTGTTTATTATGAGCCTCAAACATAATCACCTCATATCTGATTCATAATAATCCAGAGTAGCATTCACAAGCTTATTATTAGGGGTACAATAAAGCAATAATGATTGAGGATGAAGATGTGTTATTAAATATGATACTCGGTAATGATTATAACAATAGAGGCCCCATCCCATGTCATACGTCTTTACTCTTTACAACTTACAAGAGAAAAGTTATCTCATTAAAAATGGGGATAAACAAGTCACAAAATACCTATATATAAAAAGAAAGTGAAACAAAAGCACAAGTAGCGCTCGTGGCCTAATGGATAAGGCATTTGACTTCTAATCAAAGGATTGTGGGTTCGAGTCCCACCGAGCGTGTTATTTTTTGCTTTTTTTTTGGAGCTGAATTTATTGAAGCTGAACTGAACTGAATATGGAAATTAATAACTAAACTGAATTAAATTAACTGAAAATAATCCGAAGAGAACATGCCCTACGTTACAAAACGTCTACAAAGGGAATCAATTTTTTTAATCTAAAAATTTTGACCCACATTCCTAGTGGCAGTTTGCATGGTTAAAAACAACCTGCAAAAGATTGGTGGTGGAAAGAAAATGCAGGAGTACAAGTAGAGACTAGAGAGTAGTAGTAGTAACTAGTAAGAGTAGCTAAGCAATGCAATAGCAATAGCAATAGACCCCAGTTGAGCCCTTTGAATGCCGTCAGGCATAAGTCTTGTCCAAGTGTCGGTTTAGTGGTTCAAAGGATTGGCTTCCACTATTCATTCAAATTCACTAATTAGCTCACTCACCCCTGACATCTTCTGTAAAAAGAAACTGGCCCATCTTATTTACTGAAAATCCTTTCTTTTTTTAGTATTGCCAAATTACTGAGCAGTGGTCATCCACCATCAACTACAGCTTCAATACAAAAGAGAATTGAATTGGCCTACAAATTTTTAACTGTCCCCGGAACTAGGTGTACTGTGTACCCATGAGTGTTTTTTTTACGTACTACTCATTTTATCAGTTTCGCTCATTCAAAAATAAGCAAAATAACCCCTTGGTTACACGTTTAGTCACTTATACCGAGCTCTAACTATTTAGATATAGAGGTGCTGAAATAGTAAAATACATTCCCTCGGAACAAGGTAGAGGTGTTGAAACGGGAACAAGATAGAGGTGCTGAAATAGTGAAATAGATTCCCCCTCTAAAAAAAAAAATTGTCATGCAGATCTCTGACCATTCAAACTTCAACCTGGGGACTACATTATACAGAAAAACCTGTATTTTGCTTGGCAAAATTTGAAATCAATTCAGGTCATAATTGAAGTGTCATTCTTAAAGTGAATGACTGTCAAATTGTCAATGAAGATCCTTTTTTCTGAGTGTTTGATATATATATGCATAAAACAATGTACATACAGGCAGCACATAGATGAACAAACACAGGTAGAGTAGAGTGTCGCACTGTCGTGTCATTCTACGAGCATCTAGCAAGTATCATGCCGAGAGAATTATTGGGGCGGCCCGTCTTTCAGCGTACTAAAGTAGGATTTATATCTTTGTGCTAGTCCAAACATGCCAAGGGTGCCCCCTGTATGCAGCATCACCACCTTTTCTTCTTTGTCTGGTTGCTTCTGGCTTAACTGAACAGCTAGCTCCCATGCTGCCAATGTGTATATTGGATCAATAGGTACCCCTGTTTGATTAGCTACTTGTTGACATGCCTTTATTTCTCCCTCCAGGACATTGCCAAATCTGCGATGATTGAGCCTCTTGGCTTAGCCAGCTAACAAATGTTGATAGTTGCAACAAGAAAGAGGGCGTAAAAAAGAGGGGACAAAAGTATGGAGGAGGGAATTATGAGAATGATATGGCTTACACACTAATGAACAGAGAAAAAGAGAAGCAAAAATCAAATAGTGATGAAACAACTACTCAATAAGAGATTTAAAGTAACTATTCACCAGAGAGTACTTGGATTTGTAACTCACTTTCTCGGAGTGTCACGATTGACCCACTGAACAAGGTCATCCTTCAACTCATAATTCCTAAGATCGGCTGGTGCATATCTTTTAAAATCTGAAATCAGACGATTCTCCTGATTCTTGTATCCATCATAGGAATCAGCCAGCATTACAGCAGTTACCTTCCACGGCAGCCTGATTATTATCAACAGCATGATTCACATGTTTCTACAAGAAACAACGCAGTATCTTAAAACAGAAACTTGAACCATACCCAAGAATTAAGGCTCCAAGGGCAAAACCAATTGCTGTTGTTCCAGTACCCGCATCAATCATAAAGTTATATGGCCTCTTTTCCCCTAGTATATGGCTTTGGGACAAGTACCTCAGTAGGCGAATGATCCCTGCAAGAACAGATATAAGCAATCCCTATATCATTATTATCAAAAGGGAAAAAAAAATGTACAATTGACATTTTAATTCAAACAGATTAAGGTTCAAGTAGAAGGGTGACAAACATTGAAATGACATTAATATTAAATCATCCCGAATGAGTGCATGCTACAATTAAATGTTTTTTTTTTTAATTTTTTTTAAAAATATCTACATTACCCAGACTTTGCACTTAACCTGAATTACCCATGTTGGATCATCGCACTATGACATGAATATGGACACTTACCACTTTATTTTGGACCAAGAGCATGGATATTTTTCATAAATTAACTGAGTTTTGACACTAAGAAACACGAGAGGCGTAAAGGTTCCTAAACAGTGCTTGATGTTTGTCTAGCACTTGTGGTTCAGTCCTAAATACTCCAACATATTCCTAATAAATATACTCTGACATATATCACAAGTTCATGGTCAAATGGAAGTTGGAAGCATATTATCTCAAGCATTGAGAAGATACGAACATACTCATTACATAGTATTAATCAACTGCAACAACTATAGTAGGCCAAATAAGGATATGATCATTTAGGCTGTGCACAATAATTATACAGTTAAGGCATGCTTGGAATAAGGGTAATATATTAAGGGAGTAAAAAAGGTCAGACTAAAGAAAATGAACAAGGATTTAGGTAGTTGTTAGGAAAAATGAGGTAGTGATGGTGTGATTGCAAGGATCAAGATATGGTGGTGGTGGTGGTGATGATTAGAGAGGGAGGTGAACTTATTACCCTCATTTTGAGGGTATTTGTTATCCTACAGTGGTAGTGGTAACTATTAACCTTATCATGAGGGTAATAATCTTCCCATCTCTCTCTTTTCCTCACACCATCTCTAACATCTTTCATTTATCAAAACCCCAACCACTTTAGCATCATCTACATCTTCATTAATTTTTCTTGGTTTGACCTTTTTTTTTCACCTTAATACATAAACTTCAATCCAAGCATGTCCTTAGAGTAGATTAGTAGAATATTATGCATTTCATCAAGATATAAAAAGCATCTCAGAAATCAAATTCAGCAACTTTATGTATTTAAAGAAACAGGATGATATGATATACCAAGTTATCGATGATGTGGGAAACCTATCAATGCCTAACAGATGCCTGTTCTCACCTAGCAATGCCACAGCATCCCCTGCACCCTCCTTAACAATTACAACTTTCCTCATGCCATCCTCAGTATTTCTATTTGCCTTTGTTTGCGTGCAGTACTTTCCACTTGCTAATTCAATGAAATTATCAAGAATATCAGTGAGCCACACCACAGAACCACTGGGACCTGCAATAACATTTGCATGCCTAAGAAGCATTTCTTCTCTCCTGGCATACAGGGATCTCGGCACATATATTACATTTCCGTATATAGATGATATTAGGTTGAATCCAGTCAAAATCTCTGGCTCTTCTCCTCGAAGAAGCAAATGTGACCTTAGACCTCTTTCTGCACATGATACAGCTGCAGAGAATAAATCAATAAAATAAAGCCAATCATTGCATTTCATTCCCTTAGATAAATCAGCAATTGCTAATTATAAACAGAATCTTAGTATGTGGGCGAGAGCCCCAATGCACATGACCTACCCACAGCAGCTGCATGTGCACTTTGACAACCTCCACAGGTAACCTAGAAAGCACACCAGTTGAGTATTACATGGTCACAAACATTGAAACGCATAGATGGCAACTATAGCTAGTATGTTGTAATGATCATTAATGCTAAAGCAATGATGCAACAAGAAAAGATATGATAAAGAACATACAGAGTGAATGAAACCCACAATATAAAGAAAGCAGTCAAATGTTGAATTGTTGAGCTTGACAGTAATAGCCATACATCTCAATTGTGATAGAAGAAAGATAAACACAAAGCATAGAGGTATTCATTCTTCTAACCTAACAGAATTCAGTAGCATCATCTTAGCGTAAACTGATTCTTGTTCACGAGTACAGCAACAAATGACTATTAAGACAGTTTAGAATAGCTTTTATAGTATCAAGTTACTAAAATGCTATGATGGATACAGGGAGCAAAAGCCGCAACTCACCACATCAGTGCCTGAGCAATCTTCAATCATAGGAAGTAACGCATCTAGTTTCCTTGCTTTGTTTCCATTGACAAACGGGTGTAAAAGGTCATCTCTTATGACGTAAAACGAAGGATCTTTGCATCTTTCATCCATCATAGCATCACCCAATTTAGGATTTGCATCCATTGAAAAGTTCACATTCCAAAAAACCCCACCCTTTGCTGGTGTTTCCTTCATTGAAATTGTGATCAGGTGAAGTTTGGTATCTGGATTTTCTAATGCCCATCTTCTGTCTAGCAATTTTGACACAGATTCCTCGGGACATAGCTTCAGTTGAGGAGCATTCTAAAGGTTCAAAGGACATAGAATATCACATTTCATGGTTTCACTTGCCAATAAACACATAACCAACACCCCCAAAAAAAGTTACTACCTTTGTTTCAAATTATTTGCAACAAATGATTTTGCATGGACTCCTACGCAAAATTTGTAAGTGAGTGTTAAATGGAGAGGGAAAAGATTGAGATACATGTGATGATGAGAGAGATAGAGTGAAATGACAACTTACAAAGAAAAGAAAACATTAGTAAATGTTGCACATAACAATATGAAACGGATGTAGTATTAACTTAATTGGTCAATGAAATACTACATTGCCCATATTGGTATTGCCAATACATTAGAGCACTACCTTATTTTTCATCGAAGTGTAAGTAAGACCTTGTTCTGTTCACTTTATTTCTACTCATCTTGGGAGACAAGTTGAATAAAACAAGTTCCGATAAATTGTAATAAGGGTTATCCAAGTTGAATTTACAACTTGGATAACCCTTATTACAATTTATCGGAACTAGATTAGTTCTAAATGGGCCCTAAATTTTAAAAATTCACAAGGAAAATTAAACATAGTATCAACATGACAAAACTAAAAAAAAAAACCATACACTAAGAGAGATGAAGAAGAAACCTGGTAACTGTTTACAAAATTACGGGAGAGAAACCCATTTCTTTTAGCTGCAATAACTGAAATTTTTGGCCAATGATGCAGCTTCATATTATACGGCAAATGAATAACATTCTATAATTGATAATTTTGGGGCTGCAACAAAATTAATTCAAACACAACAATCAAAACTTATAAAATTGACAAAGATAAACAAAACCCAGATTTAAAATTCTGGAAAAAAACCCAACAAAATTCGATAAACTGGGTAATAATTCAGCAAACTCTTATACATCATGAATGTCAAAAACTGGAAAAAAACTAGTTGAAATCAATGTTAAAGATGAGGAGTTTATAGCAACTGATATTAGATAGGATTAATCACCTTGATGGAATGAAGAAGTATATACTCAGTTTCAGATGGATTTGAGGATAGACCGATAGAGCCCTTGTCTGTTCTGTTCACAAAGATGAGTCTTGGCAAGCTTTTAAATATTTAGGGCTCGGCTAAACTTGACTCGACTAGTTTGTGTACATAACAAACTCGAGTTTGAACTTAAATTATGATTTGAGTTGAGCTCGTGAGCTCATACATATCTTTGATATTACGAGTATATATGACAAAATTGTAATATGAATATATCTTTTGCCTAATTATAAATTTCGAGGTTGTTTGTTTAGGGGAATAAAAGGGGTGGGACAAGGATAAAATATAGGGATGGAAGGAATGTAGTGTTTGTTTAGAGGGATAGGGATTATAAGGGGGTTAGGGATAGAGATTAATCACCCACTTATCCCTCTATTTCTATAACTAAACTAAGGGGGGTGGTATAAAGGAAATGGATTAAAATGGGTTTTAAAAGACTAAATTACCCTTAATGAAATTGAAAAGTAAAGAGAAGGGTAGAAGTTAGTAAGGGTATTTTTATAAATTTATTACTTATTCCCAATTTCTTTCCACTACTTATCAAACATGGGATAAAGATTAGTTATCCTTCTCCCACCTATCAATCCTCTATCTTTATCCTCTTTTCTTATCCCTCTTATTCCCATCCTTCCAACCAAACGCCTCGGAATAGGGTATTACAAAGTACTAATTACAAGTATGATTTGTTTGAGTCAAACACTACCAAGTAAACTTGAACTCGAAATTTTCTCCAGATCGTTTTGTTTTGTTTTTTTTTTTCTTTTTTTTTTCTTCGGTTTCTTGACTATCAATACAGGCTGGCTGGCTGGCTAGTTTTTTTAGATCCGAATACGGAGTACATAGGCTGCTTACAAATACATAATATGGCACTACATTTATCTTTTCATACGCACCAGCTGAGAATCGAATCAGGGTAAATGGGCAATAGATTCCACAATAATGTAGCACTGCTAAATTCTTTTTTTCAACATGTATTTGCAACAGTCAATAATCAAACCACAGTCATAGACTGCATACAATATAGAAGTAATAGCACTGTATTTTTTTTTTCAGCATGTATTTGACCAGCAAAGAATGGAACCTGGATCTTATGTAGCACTTCTATTATCATATCATACAAAATCTGCATTCAACTCTGAAGGAAAACATAGATTCCAGGTAGTACTGTTCAGACTTGTGTACAAATGACTACAGCAGCAACTTTATATGTTTTTTCTTTCTGAATTTTTTCTTGGGATAAATATTCATACCAGCCTCAATATTGGCCATACAATCTGCTGCATTGGCTAGCAGCGAGAAGGCCAGAAGCACCAACATATAGAACTCAGTTAAGGCAGGGTAAGAAACCGAGGACCTACAACAAATGATCTAATGCAACTTACACTAACTAGTAGCTACACCTACACCTAACAACCATGGTGGTACAATTACTTGAGGAATTCCAAGATATCCCATTCCACATAAAGAAACTGTGGAACAGGAAGAAAAAAAAAAAGACTTTCTGGAGAAGAAAATGATAGTTCGGTTTAGCCCAGATCACTCATTCTTCTTCTGGTATACTATTACAGGATTGGAGTATATCGCTCCTCTGTCCAAATATATCAGAAATTCCTTCCCAACTACCTTTTTCCCTTGTTTCCCAGTAACCACCAACGTAACGATAACATCCATCCTCATCTCTCTGGAACCATCTTGGTTGCCATCCACTTTCTTGGATCCTCCTTGCCTGCAGCAGGTTTAAAAAAGTCAACACAAATTTTCAAGAATCTGTATCTGCTTTGTGCCTTGTTGACAGACAAACTAAGAAGATTATGCTCAAAACCGATACCAATGAAGCAGAAATCAAGTCTATTTAGATAACTTCTGACATAGGTAAGGGAATGTGCAAAACCCTTTAAACTGACAAATTTATGTGAGCAAAAGTGACTGCTGACTAGTGACAGCAGAAAGAAATTTCGATAAAAAGCCAGCTTTATCTAAGAGGACATGATTTCAGAGACAACACATAATACTTGTGCTGCACACAGGTGGCTTAACCAGGAGGCCAAGACATTACCATATTGACCTTCATGTTATTTGAACAATAACGCTATATATAAATTCTAGCACAATTATTACTATTACTCGTGCAATTATTATTACCCAAGAGAAATTCATTCATCTCTGGACTAGCATAACTAGCTTTTAATCTGTAGAACATCCTTTGGTAATTGGTATGGTAGGTGGGGTGGGTAGATTGATGTCCTGTAATGAGTATTAATTAAAGAGCTTTACTCAGGCAAAGACATACCTGTCTTTGCAACTGTTCAAGTCTGACTTTCTCTGCATTTGCCAGCTCATATTCACCATTTTCCAAGTGTCTCTGATCTGGCCTAAGCCTTGAGTCAGTTGGTGGTAGCTTCTCTTGCAAACCAGGAGTCAACTCATTCAAAGATATTGCAAAAGGCGTGAGGTTGTATCTAGTCTTTGTAGCAGTTTTTTCTCTCTCCCAGAGCAAGACAGCCTCCGTCATCGGATCATAGCCCTTTGGCTTTGTGGTTGGATCCCCTAACACATAGTACATCGCCTCATCCCATTTTCCTACCAACATCGCAACCTTCTCACCAGTTCTGTTGTCTTGGACAAAACCATGAACCTGCAAGTCATAGAAAATAACAGGTGACATAAGATCATGTATATAAGCAACATAGCTTGATACTAAAGCAAGACAATTTGTGACCGCCCTAACAATAGCTCCGGGAAACAACTCAAATCCAATTTGGTTCAAGAAGAGGTATGAAAATAAATCAGTTACAAGTTAAAGGGGTTTGGGGTTCAGTTATCAAGCAGTTGTAGCTTCATTTGAGAAATGGGTTCCAATTTCCACAAGTTGCGTGTATAGATAAAGAATGAATAGGTTAAAAAGATTATTCATCCCTTTCCAAATAAAATCTCTTGGATTGGAAAATAAGTAAACATAAGTAAACAAAACCGTTCAGTATAGAAAATCATTACAGATTGAAATCCAACCCAAGTTACTCCATAGCAAAAGCAAAGCCTAAAAATAACATAATTCTGTATAGGAAAACGTAAAACAAATCAGCAAGTATAAAAATAAATGAACAAAGCTCGTAGAATTACACATGACTCGCTGGCATAATTTGAAGAAAAGATCTGGAAAATGAAAGCAAAAAATTTGGGGGTACAAGATCATTATTTTCCTTCAGACTATGCATTAACAAATTCATGCTATACTTCCTCTAGCGTAAATGCATAACTTGAAGCAACAAGAAGATAACCAGCAACAAAAATTGAACATTGGCAACCGTGGCAGTTTGAGCCAATAAATTGGTTTTTGGTCCCTCTCAAACCCCAGTAAATGGAGGAACAAAGTAAAGCGAAATATCACTGAACCCCTTTGATGTAATAAACTTGAACAAAATGGGGAGCTAGTGTTTCACAACATGATACTTTGGGGTTTTACACTTTTAGTGTATCCGACTAGACCCAAAAAAAAAAAAAACAGCATGATTGAGATTCATATTTCCAACCTTTTTCCTGATATTTGAAACCAAAAAAGGCTTATTCTTGGGAGGAAAAAAAACCTAGGTCTCATCCCATGGCATGGATTGATTTGCTAAATCTTAACATTGATACAAGTCATTACAAATAAATTGTAACTTATCTCTTATTCACATTAGATTAAATTTTGTGTAATGAGATTTAGAGAACTATAGCTTAAGTTCCTAAAAAATAATGACATTCTAGCAACAGAGAAGGGCGCCATAACAAATTATCTAAGTGCAGAAACGTTGATACAATACTCTTTTTTTTTTTTTGAACATCAATCTGCTTCTTGACATCCATATTCAAGTTACATAGCTGGTTCAAAAGGGTTACCTGATGTGGATTTCGTTCTATAATAGATTGCTCTTTGAATTTCAGCTTGCAGGAATAATTTCCACTGCCTTTGATGCGCATGGTTCCATAATGATCACAGTAAATTTTACCAATTATGATGTTGTAAATGGAAGTTGTCACCTTGCTCCACTGAAATGTCTCACCATCCTCAAACTGAAGAGTAAGGGCACCAACAGGATCCAGTTGGATGGAGCGCCCCCAGAATTTACCCTTGAGATTAGAGTCAGCCCAGAATCTCCAGCCTTTGCCCTCACAATGACAAGCGACAACCATAGGATGGTGGCTTACCTGCAGCTTCCACAAGTTCCAATTAGCATCTGGTAGTGATACAATAACTGATCCAATTATACCAGCTTTTGGCGGTAGCAGCTAATTATATCCCAATCCAAAAAGGCAAAACACTATAACCATTTGCGAAAAACTTTACAAAGAAAAAAAATTTCAATCCAAATACTATAAATTCTGGACTTGAAACAGGTTCTAAATCACACTAACTATAAAGTTTCAGCATATAAGAAAGCAGTTACCTTTTCAGAGAAGAAACGAAGGCCTTTGTCTGGGTAGTCAGCCTCATAAGTCTCTCCAAGAAGGGGATTAAAAGGTTTGCATTGGCGACCTTCAGTTGAAGCATAGCCAGATACTGCAAACGCAGCTACATGCAAGATTCTCATCAAGTCATTTCCCTACAATAATGCAATCATTCTCTTAGTTAGAACGTAATTATAGAAGTAGAGGACTTGAGAGCATCATAAATAAATCAAGAAAGATTGAAAGTGAAAGCAAAGTCAATGAAGAGAATTAATGTACAAGACCATCCCACAGTCAACAATTTTAAGAAAAATTAAAAGAGACTACCTATTACCCCATTATTCTTATATCTAGAAAATTTTAAAGAGCATACACACTTCTTACAAGAATGCAGATATATAGGTATAAAACACTAGCCATGCGAAACTCAATAGTTTAAAATATTAAGGTACCATTTTAAAACATTTATACATGAATCATATCATTCTCTAGGTTGGGAAAGAGGAGGAGAAAAAAATTTAAACAGCAGAATAGCTACATTAGTTTTAAGAAAAAAATAAATCTAATCACATAATAATCACCATAAGGAACTTTTAAGGAAGACCAAGAAACTGGTAGATAATCTTACCAGCTTCCCCCATTCAAGAGCTCGATCCACCAGGTTTGAATACTCCAAGTCTTCAAAGCATTTCTGCAGTGAAGACAAGGGTTCATTGAAGTAAACAGGAAGACAAACTCCAGAAAGATCCTTCCCAATATTGTCCTTGATAATTGACCACAAGCCCATGGGTTTTTCCTTTTCCTTCGGCTCTGGAAAACTATCCCTTCTCTTTACGTAAGGGTACTCCACAGGTCTAATGCCCATTTGAAGCTCCTGTGAACAATCCTGCCCCAGTGAACTGCAAGCATCTGCAAAGGATTCCCTTCCACGACAAGATGCACTTCTTAAAAACTCCGAAGCCAAGTAATCATTTGTATCAAAATAAGCACCATCTTCTTCATCTGATTCAGCATCCCCCCCATCTTGACTCTCATTCTCAACATCAGAGTCAGATCCACTACCCTCAGACATGACAGAATAAAAATCTGCAAGGTTTGAAAGAGCTCGAATTATTTGGAATAGTAATCACACTTCATCAACAAAACAGAGTAAGAAACACTCAAGCACGCATAGCTCAATAACTTGGGTTTTGAGGAAGGGAGTCAAATTAATACTCTGTATATTTTTACAAGTACAAATAATAAGTCTCAATAGGTCATTTTTTTTTACATCAAAAATTCAATTAAGAGGAGACTCCTGGTCCTCTTAAAGAAAACCTTTATTAAATAGGCAGTGAAACTTGAAAGTCTATGCAACAATATTAACAAGTTCTAGAAGATATATAAGAATATGTAGTGAACTTGAAAGTCTATGCAATATTAAAATAAGTTTAGAAAAAGATGAAGTATAAGAACATAAGAAGGCGTGAAGTACAGAGCATAAAACTGTAGGTGTAACAGACAACAGTTCCAAAAATAGATGGTTTGGTAAGATATTTCACAAGAACGAGAGATAACAGCAATGGTTACAGGGTTAATAAGAATTTCAATACAATTACTGCTGGCTGTTCCAACTCTCATCAGCAGGTGTCATAGATGAAACTGAAGGAAAAGAATAATGAAGGCAAAGGGGGTAGAACAGAGTAATGAGACAAATGCACCACTAACCGCTGAATCTTCTATTTCCTTGCCCACAACAAGAATCTCTCCTCTTTGTTTCATCTACCACAGTAGTCTCCAATTCTATCTTCTCACTCTGAAATCCAGGGAAATTCACAAATGATCTCACCATAAGATGCCATATAACAAAATATTTCAACTTTTAACATGGATTAACTGTATCAAAATGGAGACAAATTAAGATTATGTTCAAATCTGAGCATTTTCTATTCCATATGAATCCATCAATCAGTACAAACATATCCTATATGCCTGGGTGATCCATGATCTTTGACAGGAAACATAAATATCATATTCAGCGATTGGTGATTAGTGATGACTGAGAAAGTAACAACAATATAAGTTTGATTGCCCGTTTACCCTAGATGTCCAATGTGCTATAGAAATGAATTTGGAGATTAAGTCCCACTAAATGGAATCCACGTCGTTTTAAAGGCAAGCAAGGAAACAGAAGTCGCAAATTAAACTCTCTACAACTCAAAAATAAGATATCATGCAAACGACTAATGTAACCAGTATATATATGTGAATTAAATGTCAAACGAGGACCTCAAAGGAAAGCATATTCGGTAGGTTGATCCACAAAAGAAGAAAAAAATGTATATATGAAGATAGTAGCAGTTGTTACAAGAATATAGCAAAGAACAAAAGGCAGCAAAGAAAAGTATAAATCTTATAGTTTACTTGTACCACATTATAAGTTATCAGGTCATGTCATAGCACCCAGGCACCACCATTTATTTCAATAGAATTGCAAAAAATTAACTCTACTACTTCAATGCTCAGACAGTCAGACTGCTTTATAATAGTCAAAGAATGTGAGAATTCAAGTAAAATTGGGTGATACCTCTAACCGTCTCAAAGTCTCCAGCAATGAGACATGTTTTTGTTGAAGAGCTTTAAACTGATTTTTCAGCTCAGAGACTTCTATGAGCACAATAGACTCACAATCATCAATCACTGGCTCAGCAATGCCTTCCTGCAACATCCTACGTCGAAGCTTATCTGTTGACACAACAATGTCTTCAGTGGCAAATTCATTGCTTGTCAACACCCGGGGGAAAAGATCTTTTGCAGCTAAGAGTGCCTCAATCCATGCTGCTCTGTCTTCTTTGGAGACACATCGTAGGTGAAGAGTTTTGGTACCCGTATATATACTCAGTCTTTTATCATCTGACTTGCTTGCGCGAATGGAAGAAACCTGTAATGCACCAACAACAATAAACAAGCCATCTCTGGGGAGAATAACAGCTAATCAACTATCACGAGCTAATAGCATATTTGCAGGAAACTAAAGCTTCTACACAGGAAGGTCATGCCAACTTCATTTCTGTAACTGCCAGTTCCAATACAGAACGAATAACAGACAGATGTCAACTATAATACAAGCATCAGAACCCTTCCCTCAATATGGAAGAATTAATAATGATAAATAAGCACGTGTCATCAAAATTGGAAAAGCACATAGTATGTGAGTGGAAGGATAATGAATGCTTAAACTTCAGACTAAACAGCGGCACTGCAAATCAGAGTTCTACCAAAGGAAAAATGTAATTAAAGGGACTACCGCAGTATCAAAGATAAGGTAGACCTCAGGAAAGGGAAAAAAAAAAAAAGAAAAAAAAAATTCAGCCATAACACAGTCTCGTAAAATCATATATACATTGTTTTGTTCAGACCTTCCCTCAAACATTCTTTATACAATACAGTCTTTAGTTCTTGACCAACAAATGGTCCCAGGAAACTTATCAAAAAGAGGAATAATCTTGAGCATTGCAAAAATACTCAAGATTATCCACTACACCTCTCAATAGAAGAATCTTCCTAAATCGATGGGCTAAAAAGGATTCAAAAACATACGAAAAAAAAAAAAAAGTTCCTGCAATTGCAATGCAACAACGTTCCACCAAAATGTGATGTCAAAATATTGAATTTTCACTTCAACCACAAAGGCAACCAACTCTTCCCCTCCAACCTGCATGCATTGAAATGCTTCAACAATACTTGCACAGACAAGTCACCACTCACCACACGTTTTGATTCAACCAACCAGACAAAGAACTACCTTAATCTTACACTGAACCAATCTAAATTTCTGAAACTAACTTAAATTCAAATGTGATTTCATTCTATACACTACTTTTTTTTTCCCTAGCCAAAGTGCCTAATTCTAACCAAAGGAATCAGTCTGTTAGGATCCACAACATCGGTCACACCCGATTTCTTATAGTTTTCTTCTTTATACTCTTATCCAATGCAAAGTTTTAGCAGCTGGACCAGTAGATCCAATCACACTACAATTCCCCCCCCCCCCCCACAAAGCTAAGATTCCATAATTAGTCCAGAAAGGTCCAGATGTACGCAATCTTACATCCTAACCCGAAACCGGCCTTAAAAACACACAAGATATCAAACAACCAAACACATTACCAATCACTCTCAATACACCAAACACATAAATACAAACAACAACAACAAAAACAACACAACACAACAACAGCAACAAGAAAAGCTAAAATTTTACCACATATGTAAAGACAAAGTCAAAATCAAAATCACACCTTCAAATGTACTTCCCCATAAGGCTTCCATTGCTTATTATAAGTTGACAAATTACTAAAACTATTACTAATCCTAAAACCATTACTATTATTAGTACTAATTCCACTACCATTATTAGTACCATTCTTCCCCCAACTATTATTCTTCTTCATATACTTCACAGATTCTTCCCCAATCACTCTCACCCCTACCTTCTCCCTCCTTGGACTCGAACCCGAACCCGAACTCGAAACCACAATCTTATCCGGACCATGCAATTTATAGTATGATAAAACCCCATCTTCCAACACAAACCACCTTGACCTCCACCCTTTTCCATAATTCACCCATTTGTAAAGAATCCCAGCAATCGCACCCCCACCATTACTACCATACACCCTCGAATCTCTACCACTCATCACCATCACATCTTCTGCTTCGTGATGATGCACCTGATCCAACGCTGCAGTACTGCTACTCACCGACGATACTTGCGCAGAGTAACTGTGCCGGGAAAAACCCAGATTGATTCCGCCATTGTTGCCGGTGATTTGAGTTTGATTCTGGTTTTTAAGGGATTCAAACCCGATTTCCGGCGGTTTGCCGATGACATTTCCGGTGGGTGGTTTTTCACGATCGACGGAAACAGGAGCAATGCAGCAGAGAGGATTCATGGGGGGGTTTGGAGGAGAGAGAAAATGGGTAATTTTATGGTGCTGCTAGTTCTACATTGAAGGAGAGAGAAAATGGTGGGTTGAGGAGAGAGAAAATAGTGGGTTGCAGATCCATTAAATTGACACTGATGAAGTGCAGCAGAGCATCAGAATTTTAATTAATAAAATAATGAAGATGAAATCAAATTAAGGAGAGAGATTATTTAGAATAATAAATGAAATTTGGTGAAAATTGAAAAAGAATGGGAATCAGAATCAGAAAAAGAAAAGGGTATGAAATTGAATTGAAATTTGTTGGGGTTGAAGAAGAAGAACAAAGAAAGTAGAGAGTGAGAAAGAAAGAGAAAGGGGGCAGGTAATGATTGTGAGAGGGAGACAGGTAACATGAGCATAAATTGGGCATTTCTATCTTGGCCTCAACTTAAACCCATTACATTTTTGTGATTAGTCATTTTTGTGGGCTCTACCTTTGCCTATTCTTAATTTTTTCAACCAACTATTTTTTTTTTAAATTTTTTTTTTTTTTTTACAAAAGATACTATTAACGAAGAACAGTATTACAACCTAAAATAGAACACTAAACAACCTAAAAGATATACACTAATAACCATACCCATTACAGGAAGAACGAAGAGAACAAAACAATGAAAGAGTATTGCAGCAAGCCAATAGTTGCTAAGCTCGGACAACCAAGAAAATCGAACCACATCCCTACCATGGATCAAGAGAAGCCAAATTAACTTAAAAAGATGAGATGGACCAAGAACGCAGAACATAAACATTGAAGAGAACCCGAACTGGCAGTGACAGCGAAGGAAACTCATGGTTGAAATAGATGGGAGACGAAAGAACCCGAAATATGCATCACGTTGCTAAAGAACGGACAACACCATTCCACTCCTAGGAGTTGAAAAGCACATCTGCATCCTAGGAATCTGGGAACACAACCTATAGTCATTTTCGTTAACGGCTCTATGAGAAATCGTGCATCAAAATGCAGGTTCTCTTCTTGCAACTCTACTAACAGATAATACAAGAAAATGGAGGACTTTGCTTAACCCATACATCAAAGATGAGTAGCCTCCTTCAACATATTGATTAACAACGATGATTGGCCTTGTCATCACCCAAACTATTATGTTATTTGTTGAGTCCATTTTACTATCGGCCTCATTTTTAATTTATATACACGAGTTTATATAGTAATGTGGAATCTTATTCTTTTGAACTACAAAGTATGGAGTAATTTTTACTTAGTGTAATATAATAATAATAATCGACCTTATCCAACAATGAGAGGTTAGTTTTTACATGTTGTATCAATGTAGTAAAATTGATTAAATTTAGGATATAAGAGTCATTTCCCTCAACCAACATAAATAACTCAAGTCTATACTTGTATCTATGGCAAACCACTGCATTGATATTTGACAATGCATAGATACTAAAATTATGAAACAAAGGAAGTACTAACTACTAAGTAGTCAAAGTTGATGCAGTAGTATTATACCATATAAGTTATTTTGATATCATCTCATATTAAAATATTTAATATTTTTTCCATTATACATTACATGAAAGTATAATTCAAGTATTCATACCCCTTTTTAGTTTTTTATTTTATTGGTAATTTATTTTTCATATGAAAAGCATTGTATGGGTTTGGACTCATAGTAAAATAGTCTGTATAAGTTAGTGAACACTTCTTTTGAACATCTTGACTTTTGAGATTTAGGTATAAGTTTTTGTAAATTCCATATAAGTTATTGGACGTATCAATTTTTAGAATTATATGTATTTGGTGGGTAGACTAATGGTGAATAGACCCATTCAATATATAGTTTGTGTGTTGTGTATTATGCTAACTAGTTATACTATATGCATTGTTATTAAAAACTTTGTTTTCAAGAGACTTAGAATAGTTACCGAATTAAGAAAGTTATTTTTTTTTCTTTTGTTGATTGGAATTGTAATGTGCATTTCATCCTAACTAGTTATACTATATATTATCAATTATAATCAAATTACATTTTATTTTTAAGGATATTTTGAAATAGTTTTCGAATAATGGCTTGTGGCTACAGATTTATCCATTAAATCAAGAAAATTTAATAATGGCTTGTGGCTATAGACTTATCAATTACTGTATACTAGTTTGAGTATCATGCCATGCAGGTAATTTTTAAAAATTAATATCAACATTTCAATATAATGAGTTATTTTTTAAAAATTGAAAAAGATCTCAACAAAGTTAATAAACATACACACTACTTTGACGTGAATTATAATCAATAATAAATTAAATAAATAAACAACATTTTCTTGAGGTAATTTAACATATGTAGCAAATTGTGTTACTATTTTCTATTATAGTCATACATGTTTGTGTGGAAACTGATGACGGAGGCAAGCAATGAATATGACATATTATTTCACAGTCAACAAGCACTAAACAAGAATCTCAAGCTAAAGATATTGGTGCTCTATTTTATCTAAAGAGTTGAGAGCCATTTGCTTCTCTAGTATTCGCCTATTATCAATAGTACTAGTATTTAGCCTGTATGTACGATTTAAATTTGTTGGTAAATTTTTTTTTTTTTTTTTTTTTATACATAGACAAAACTTACATTTAATTTCATCAATTTTTTTTTAAAAAAAAAAAAACAAAACATACATTTAATTTCATGAAATCTACCACATTATAAAAAATTATTATTTGCATTAATAGGTGTACATATCATCACGAATTGCATTAGGTAATTACAACATAATTTAAACAAAAAAAAATTAATATATTCATCAAAATTAAATTTACAAAGTATTAATTTTGCCATTTTTGTGATAGATTTCATGAAATTAAAGGTATATTTCTCTGTATATATATATATATATATATATATATATATATATATATATATATATATATATATATATATATATATATTAGTTTAGTGCAAGTGCGATCTCTCTCTCTCTCTCTCTCTATATATATATATATATATTAGTTTAGTGCAAGTGCGATGCGCGGGTTGTTTATTGAATTTTAGGATAAATTTATACTCTATACATCAAAATTTAAAATATATCATTGATACAAAGTTAGTTAGGAGTTGATGTGCTTTTCTGACGATTTGCTATCTAGTAAGCATGTAATGACTAACAATAATGTTGGTGAAAATGTTCGCTTTAATACATTAAAAAAATAATTAAGATAAATTAACAAAAAATAAACTAAAAAAATAAATATTCAAAGCATGTTGGATTGACCCAAACCCAAAACTTTGGGCAAGGGATGAACATTTCTTGACTCATAACCTGAAGTGACCAAATCCGAGATGTGTCATGATCCAACCCTAATTGACAGGTATCCATTCTATTAGATTGTGAAGTATATAATTTTAACCGATTAGTATGTATTATAAATAGATGTTTTACGCTTTAAACTACTTCCTTCGCTCCAAAAAAAAATTATGATATAAAAAATAAATTTATATGATAATTTTTGATAATTATAATCTAATAATTTTTTTTGGATAAAATTATAATTCAATTTGTACATTTGAAATATTGATATTTTATTGATAATAAAACTCTAAACTAACAATTTTATCCTAAAATTCTATCCAAATATAATTCTAAACCAACTTTTTTATCTTATAAAATCTATTTAAATCTATCCAACATGGAGCGACACTTGGCGAAAAGTTAGAACGCCAAGTGTCACAATGTCGTGATCTGGCTCAAAGTTTAGCTTTATATATTAGTTATATGATATATTTTTACAGATGTTTCTATGTAATTTAATTGGTAATGTATGTCAAAAAAAATTAGTTGATAAATTCATGAAAGCTATCACAAACACTACAAAACTAATATTTTGAATAGACTATTACATAAAAATGAAAATCCACTCATCCATCAACCCCATCATCATTTAAAACTAAAAAAAACACATAAAGGAATAAAAAAAAAAAGTTTAGAGAAATTAAAATGTAAAAATTGACTTAAAATATGAAATTAATATAAGGTGAAGAACACTTGTAACTAACCTTTAAAAATGCATAGAGATTATAGGAAGGAGAAATAAAGATGATTGATCAAGTACATCGAATAATTGAAAATTAATTTATTTGTAAATATTAAATATAGAAACTTTAGGGGAATAGTGTCATTTGGGAAATGATAATGATAAAAAACATTGTTAGTGTCGTTTGGGAAATTAAATGATATGAAAGCATTATTGGAAGTAGAAAAAAGAAAAAAAAAATTCTACGTGGCATTTTATATGGCCTTTAAATTTTCCTGTTATTAAATATTAGTATAGATTACAGGACATGTCTTTCTATATCATCTACTTAGGGTCTATTCACCATTACTGAACTGAGATGAGCTGAGTTGAACCGAACTGAACTGAATAGAGCTGAAATGAATATTTTATGAGAGAAGGAAATTAGGAGCTAATGAACTGAACTCAATTGAATTGATTGGAGCTGGACTGAATTGAAATTAAGCTGAAGTGAAGAGACCCTTATCACTTACGACTTGACCCTCGATTTAATATTACAACCCCTAATGAAAAGGACTTAACATTACAATCGACTATAAGTAACTCCTCTTTTCATCACTCAATTGTAAACCATGTTTTTTTTTTAAAGGTGCTCTCATATTTTGTATATAATATGAGAGCACCAAAAAAAAAATCTCCTTAGCTTGAGGCTCTTGTTAAATGTTAAGTGCATGTTGAATATTTGCCATATTAGTTGCTCAGTTTCGTCAAATTAGGAAGAAATAATACCTATTCAACAAGCGTACGTCGATTAAAAAAACTACTTATTCTTAACTGACATGCCCATTACTTATACTCATATGAAATCTTAGGTTTAAAAAAATTTCCATACCTCGAGATGGTGGTAATAAAAAATTAGACAAAACAAAAACTTGTGTTTTTTTTTTTTTTTTTTTGAAACAACAAATTTTTTTAACACAAAAGGGAACAATTTATATTATATCATGCATATTATGATAAAATGATCCATCATATCAAAATAAGACCAAGTAGAGTACAGGTCATACAACACCAAACTAGGATAGTTAAGCTTACAAACAGAAAGATAGGTTTGATAAACTAGATTATGAGACAGATGATTAAAGAACTGCAGAGGCCGACAGTAGCTCGAGGTAGTCTTAAGGCAGCAGAAGACAACAAAATCAGCTACGGAGGTGATCCTAACAGCAGAGAAGTTAGGTTGCCATGTCTGGGATCTCAGATTCTCAGCTGCATATGTGCCGAAACATTCAGCTGGAGGGTAAGTGAAAGGAACTGTTTCACCAGCCTTGAATTTGTTTCTTCCCATGAAAGCCAGCTTATCAGCAACTTCATTAATTGATCTGCTAATGTGAAACACCTGCACTGTCCATTGTCTTTCCAAGAGAGACGCAACATCCCTTATTAGATTACCCAAGTCCCCATCTTCAAAAGACTTTGGATCCTTGAGCATCCTAGTGAGGGCATCGGCATCAGTTTCCAGCTCTAGAAATTTAATCCCCTTGCCCCAAGCTGTCAAAAGACCTTCACGAATAGCCATAAGTTCAGCAGCATCAGCTGACAAAGCATTAAATCTCATTGCATAACCTGTAACCCAAAGACCTTTCTCACATCTGATAACACCACCCCCACCAGCATTGTCCACACTGAT